CATCAATGAATCACTTCTCAAAAGAAATCCCAAAAATAATTCTGTCCCGTGAATATTTTGCGGCATCATATTTTGCTTATGGCATCAGGCTACGCAATTGTTGCCATTTCTTTATAAGCTACACAAATACAGCTATTTCTTAAGCTTGTTTCGAAAAAACTCAAATCTTAAAAAAACTAACTGAAAATTGTCGTTGTCAGGTGTCATAAACCTTCAATGAATGTCACTTACAGGAAAGATTCAATAGAGAAAAATTTCTTTGAAAACTACCTCCTGGAGCAATTTTCGTAAACACTGTTCGCGTATTCTGAAAAAGCACATTTATAAACAAACAAGCGAGTACTTGAAAAGCACAGTCACACTGTTCAGTATGCAAAAGGGAATGGATAGTGTCTGATTAAGAGCACGTGTCCACATGGATTAGTTGCAGCTTTCTTCAAAGCATTCACAACACCAATACCTCGCCTTTCCTGGCAACATTTGTCACATCCTCAAAGTAATAAATACGAAAACAGAACCATCATGACTTCGGACTCTAGCCTAGACCTTCTCATTCTGACGTCAGTTCCGAGATGAGAGAAACCCGCAGAAAAAGACTGAAGGAAAAATTTTCTTCCCAAGCTTCCCAATGAGATGATTTTGAAAAGAAAGCTATTCAACCTTGCTGTGTTATTGACCAAGCTCGAATTTTTCGCATGTGCTATCCAATGAGCACTGCGGATGTGCAATGAGTAATACAGGCTCCCTCCTAGCTACAAGACAAGAGATTGGGGTCCTACGTAATAAAAGCAGTGTGTTTCGCAGAAGCAGTTGACAAGTTATGCCGTACCACATGTGTTTGAAACAAACCAATGGATTAAGCACTACGACATTGTATGCAGAAATTCCTAGTAAGCATGCCCTCACACACAGATATACTGTCTCCCTTGATCGTTTGTTTACAAAAGTCTTTAAATAAACAAACTAATCCATTAAATGTGGCCCTTAATACCAATCAGTTTCGAAGTAGATCGGAAATTCGCCTAATCTGCTTGCCTCGTTTGACAATAGATGAATATTTCGAATCGAGGTACTATTGACGTTTGGTCCCTCTTTCCCATTATAGTTAACAAGATCTAATAGTTCAATGATATGGTATTTTGGGAACAAGGAACTCGGGTGTGCACTTTTAATAATTTGATGTGATGCATCATTGGATTAGTGATAATTCCGTCGCTTCCCTGTCGAATTATTTGAAAAAACAGACAACTTTCTTTACTTAGGACAGTGACGTAAGCTTGAAATTTATATTCGAAGTTAGTCTTTGATGTTTCCTGCATAAGTTGCTAGAAGTTTTGCATTCAAAGTTCTTGATAAGAAAGGTCTCTTTGGTCGAGTTTGTCTATCAGTTTTGAGATATCAGTAGCTCAAATAAATTCTATGAAAGTTTATCGCCTAGGGTCATCAATATTAATTTTTTTTTGTATTTGCAGCTTCTCCTTTTGCAGCTTCTCCTACAGATGTTCTTGTGTTAGATTATACTTTAAATGCGTCAAACAGTAATTCAATTGAATATAAAAACCTGACATATTTTTCAAATCCTTGATTTGAACTTGGTCACCTTTTATACTGCAAAAATTAGATAAAACGACATTGCTAAATCACATCAAGCGGAAAATGACTTTTGAATAGAATACTATAACGGTAAAAACGCCTTTCGAGTCCATGAAAAAAGTTGTGCAGACGCTGTTCAGAAAGACCGACGGCGCCTAACATTCATTTGGCTTTGTTTAAGTGAATTTTTTGAAAATTTGTAAGGCAAAATGTTCCTACTTTAAGGGCAAACCAACGCTAGTAAGGGAACATTTTTTAAATATATAACTCATAGAGATTGAAAGTCCATCGTTGATGAAATCCAAGCCTGGCTATTATTTTAGTTTACTTTTAAATTTTGCCACGTTCAAGTCTCAATATTCTAAGAAATGTTTTCTAGTAGAATTATTCTTTACATCGAGTCACATTTGGTAACAAAGTTTTCTAGATTTATAATTGAATAGGTATTTCATATGCAAAGCCAAACGTAAGTGGCAGATAAGCTTAATCTAAGAAATCGTGAAGTAATACCAACCCCGGCTTAGTTAAATTTTACGCTGTCACACAACCTTGTAGATTAAAGAGAGTTAGATATAGTATTTAATATTGTGAATAGCAAAAAAGGAGTTATTCCTAGCTTATCAAATGATCGAAAAGTCAGATAGTTGTAAGGACAATGATCAGTATATTTGTCTCTATCTACGTATTTTTGTTTTTACCTTTTTACAATTCTATTGGTGGAATGTGTCATGATGTGCAAGATATCTGGAATCAGTCGGTTTCTGACACAGAGAAATGACCATTTTCCTCTTTCTAATTTTGTTTTGCTGTTCAGTGGAAAATTGTATTTAATAAGGAAACTAAAGGGCTGTGGTTTTAAAGAACTGAGGTCTTTAAAATACTCGTTTCTTGAAAACTGAGGGCGGAGGAAGGGGGGGGGGGCAACAAGCGGTGCAGCAAAATCCTAAAGGCCTAATATTCTCTTTGGCCCAGATAGAGACGGTGCTTGAAAAGGGTGTTCGATTTGGAGCAAATACTGAATGCTACACCCTCATCCTTTTACCGGCCTGCAACCCTAGCAACCTAAACATATGAGTCTCTCTTCATATCTGGCCTAGAACAGTTGAAAGTCTTTCAATAATTGCAGAATTCCAATTAAACCAGGCATGATAAAATTCAAAAGTCATACAAATATCCTGCTTGCACACTAAACGTCCGCTGAGTTCAAGAGGGACATTATGCTAACCCAGGTAACAAAAGTGAGAAAAACAATTTTTCTCGGTGAGTTGCCTTTAGATTTCTATCAAAAAATTATGGTGCAGGTATAGGGAATAAAAAAGGAAATGAGTTTTGCATTTTCCTCTTTCTCAACTCTGACTATCAATATACCGATCTCCTGGACCTACTTGCAAACAGATTCTGATTTGGAAATCGATTGTCTAACATTACTAAGAAAAACCTCTCCTCCGCAGCGCTGCACGCCTTCCAAATGAAGAAAGATCAAAACGTACTGATTACAAAAAAATAACGTGATCTTGTGAATAACAAGTATGAAGTAAAACGCTTCAAAGATAGCTTAAAGTGCCAAGAGATTAGCCAATTTGGACCAATTTTGACGACATACTTCACCTGATTAATAACAGCTAATTTTATGCTCTAAAGACTTTTCTTTTTATTGATTGTTGTGTGACAGGCAAGTAAGGGCATGCTCAAAATATAACAAAAATGGCGCCCAAATCGAGGCAGCACTTGAAAACATTGATTAATCAACAATTGGTAATCTTTAGCTAAGAGGCATAATGCTCTATTATGGATTTATAAAGTGAGCATGTTTTTATTCTATTTAGTATGATGTGATTGAGATCAGAATCGAATAACAATGCAGACATCATCAACCGGGCTTCATCGGGCGTCCCAACATTTCGATGTTCTGACACCACTTTGGAGGAAGCGCTTATAGAGGGTTTACTGTTCCAAAAAGTTTAGATTCCATTACGTACAAGTACCATTCTAAAACACTTTCATTGAAGCTTGCAAAACGAATTGCATAGTTTCGCCTGCATGTGATGATCAAAAGATTTGGCAAAGGTGCTCGTACAAAAGAAAAAGAAAATACCTCTACAGCTTTTACACATTGATGAAAAAACAGATTCGTTTTAAGTGCTAGGAGTTTGGTATGAGCAACAAGTTGAAAAGCGAGAAATCCCTTGTGAAGGAAAACGATAAACTACCTTTTCATTAGAGGCGCTGGGCACATGCCTTTTGTGTACTCGTGTCTGCTTAAAAACAGCTTAATTGGTGAAAATAAAGAAAATAATAATCAGTTATTAGAAAACAACAAAAGCATATCCAATCATTTTCGCATTTCATTTCAATTTTCAATAATCTACCTCATAGCCATAAAAAGGACACCCTACTTCTAGCATATGTGAACATAACAGTGATATGGAGAACAGTCTTGGTATGAGCCAATTTGAACACACAGACACCAAATAGACACAACCTAATGACAGACGCTTCCAAAGAACGGACAAATATATTTTGTCAAACAATTCTTTTCTTGCTGTCAAAGCCTGTTAAATTAAACTCCAAAGAATGATACCGTATTACAACGGAAACCTCCCTAAAACGAACATCTTCCTACAACGGTCTTCAACATTGATCAAATAGGAGTAAAACACCAAATATAGACTCGCAAATTACAGCGAGAGAATCAAATCGTGGTACTTAGAAGTGGACTGTATACACTTTCGGTAAAAAGTTCAGGGGAGAATAGATGGTATCGCACATTTTCTTGGAAAAAGATTGAAAGTGGAGCCAGATTAGGTATCGTATTCTTCTGATCAAACATTTCTGTCGAAAGAGCTACAAGGTGTTATCTGAAAATGAGCAAACTATGCTTCATTTCTCTGGCATTAAAAAAACTGCAGCGAAACTGGCCTCGAAGACATCTCTCTTGGTTGCAAGAATATAAACAAACATTGCTATGGATGGATAGAAGATATCATAATGATATGAAGCAAAAACATTTCGAATGGGGTTGAAGAGGCAAATGGGCCTAAAATTAGCGACAAGCACCATGTGCCCAGAGTTGGTAATTATTGCTTTAGGATCATAGCACCATGAATAGAAATTCCAAGTCTCGAGAACAGGGCCTCTCCAACTGCGTGCAGTTTTTCAAGGAAAGAAAAAAACTAGAGAAGGCATGGGCCTTCAAGTTAATAACTAATATATGGATCAGGCATGGTGCCGTGACTCACACCGACTTAACTAGCTACAAGCCATTGATCCTTATTGCCGCCGGAAATTATGATTTCGTTTACTAATCAGGTTTATTATGTGAGATTTAAAATGAATATTTGCAATAAATAATACAAAAAAACAAGAAAAAATAACTCTCCTTTTTTCTTGAAAATGTGTCTACTTACAGATATTGAAAGATTATTCACTAGTAAGAAAACGATGCAAGCTTGTCACAGGCTTCCACATCTTTGTGCACTTTTTAGATTGCGACGTAATGCTCCATACAAGACCTCGAATGTCACTGCAATGCATCCAACAAAACTCGTGACCTGGTTATCAGCTTCTTGGATCACGTGTTTGATATGCATCGTTAACGGTATTTCTGATCCTTAATCATATCTAACATACCTAATCAACATCGGCTGCTTTTTGCGAACCAGCCAATCACTAATGCCAAGGACAATGGTTGCCATAGCTACAAAGACCCATTTTATAGGTAGTCTCTTGCATTCACCTTTGGCTAGATCAAAAAACTGGATCACTGATCTAAGTGTTCAGATCTTTAGCTCTCCATATACTCAAATACAATGTATCAACTATATATAAAAAAGTTCGTTTTTATAAGAAAAGGTTTAAGGGCTAATTTTTTAATAACGCTGAGAACTCTCATGTGGATAGAAGTTAAATGTGGAAGGAAGTAAATATGTATAACAGCCCTAGTACCTCTTAATTACATTTCAAAGCCAATACGAGGAGCTCTTGACTTGTGCGCCAATAACAATCAAACAGTAATTTATATTGAAGGCTTGTGTAGCAAATTAGGCCACCGTGCATACATTGCGTTCTCACGTAGGGACAATTTGCATATGAATCAGCTTATACGTTTTGCTTGAAATCTGATTGCAATTTGATTGGACTAGAATGAAAAACGCTCTTTGGGGCCTCGGCAGAAAACAGATTGATTTTCCATGAGTTCTTCTTTTCACGACTACACAAGGCCAACCTAGCAGTGGCTAGAATTTAATTGGATAGAACTGGCTGGGTGAAGAAATTCTATGAAGGATCGATTAGACATAAAAAGTCTAATTTGCAAAGAGCAATCTGGCCCCTAAACTATGCTCCACTTTTAGTCATTTTAACAGTACTAATGGTATTATGCTGATTCTAATGAAAGCATAGTTTGACCCAAGTACCAGAAATGAGAATTGCCATTAGCCCATATACTTATTGGTGGTGAAACCAGCCTCGGGTAACGCGATCACCCTTTTGAAAAACCTAAATCTGGCGTCAACTTAACCCAAGATCATTTGTTATCAACGTCTATAAATTTTTCTCCCTTTTGTTTAACTGTTCAGGAAAAACCATACTGAACATCATATTTATGACCTTGGTAATGCAGGGCGGGGATCTATCAGCATATAGCCAAATTGCTGATCTACTTCATGATATGGAAGAGCAAAGACCCACATTTCATTTCTTAGATACGGTGATTTCACAGCTAAACCAGAAGTTTTTATCAGGTGGCACACGAAGGTTTTTAGTGTTTTCTGAAGCTGATCTAAAAACAGAATGATTCTTCCCGAACGTGTGGTGTGTGTTCCTTTTTTCTGTTTCAATGAGCATATTGACACTGGGCAAACAATGATCAAAGAGGAAATCTTTTCATATTATGCATGCTTGTATATGAAATAGAAACATGCTTCTTTCTCTACGTTAATAAGAATAATTGACATGTTTAAGGACGCGGTGATGGCAGCGCTAATGCAATACTAAACAGAAGAAAGAGTGCACATAAATACCTCTCTGAATACAGTACAATGCTTAAAGAAAGCGTGAATACAGTGGATTACAACAATAGGGACTTGTAGTTATATGAAAAAGTAGCTTGATGCAACTTTCAAATAGTTATATGACTCCAGTTATTTTTAAGTTAGAAGTGTATATCAAGGACCCAATCAAGGTATTAAAAACTTCTTTCAATGGCTTGTTAAATATAGCTGAGATATAATATTGTGAAAAGTATAAGAGTAAAAACTGAACAGTTTCACTATATTAGACTCTTAAGCAGCCTACTAATATATGAAGACGAAGAATATGTGATTTGCAATCAAGTACGAGAGAACTTTCATTGGCAAAAGAAGACGACAAGTATCTCAGAAAATGAATGGCAAACAACAATAAGGAATCGACATTCAAGAATCTTTTAGGTGGATGCAGTCACGAATTTCTGTTAAATATGAGAATCACTGTGAAAGAACGGATCAAAAACGACCACAAAACAGCAGTGTCCTTATAAAGATTTCAGATGACATAAATTGCTTTAAGAGTGACATAATTTGTTAGATTTTCTTGCCATCTGCTGTTGGCGCCGAGTTTACGATCAGTGCCAACTGGTACAACTTCATGTCACAACAATATACAAAATGAGACATTCTTAATGTCATGGTCAACCGTCTACTTCCTCCTTTGTGTAAGAGAACCCAGTCAATGAACAACGTTTTACAGGAAATCCTCAATTTCTGTAACTGAGCATGTTTCCTCAAATCAGCTTTTTCACGTTGATGGTGATTAAGAAATAGATATAGATATTAAGGCTGCTAAACATTTGATTTCTCCTGCCTTGAAATCAATTAACCCTCTACTCAGCTACATGCAGGGTTGTCTATTAACTGTCATTTAGCCTCGTGACAGTCTCGTGACAAACAGCGCCAAATCTAAATGTCTCATGCAAATTAATGCTACATTCTATTCAAGGTATACGCCTTTCAGAGCTTCCTATTTCGAAGCATGAAGAAAGCCTTTGCAATATTTTATGTAGACAAACTTTAAAGCCAGGAAAAGAATGCCGCATTTAGACATACTCATTATGTTTATACACCAAAGCAGCTCATTTTTAGCGTCTGAAGTTTCTTCCAAAACTGTGTTTCAAAACAAATAAACCTATTTTAGGGCCTATGTTTTTGTATCTCTCATTATCCATTCCCACAACAGCTGTTATCACTAAAGAAAGTACCCATTATCTGATAAAGACCTTAATTATTGAAGGAATAGTTTTATTTGCGGTTGCTAGAAGCAAGTTACAGCTTAGTGGAAAATGGTTCGAAATGTGGACGTCTAAAGAATCATTTACAAGAAAAACAACTTTAATAAATCAAGAACTTATGGGAACAACAAGGAAATCTTGAAAATTCAATAGTTAATAACTCTATCAGACGACTGCAGGCAAATAAGACTGTTTTTCCCATGTCTGCTCTAACAAATGATAAATTGTTTTCAAGCCTAAGGTAGTTGTTTAGTGAACAATCGGATTACTTTTAATCCAAGAAATAAGGGTTAAGGCCCTTATCTAGCAAACAATATCAACTGATATAGATAGCTAGCCACCATCCCGTGTAATCTTCCTAAGAAGAAATTTAAGTGGCACTAGAAGGATTTGTTAAACTAAAGAAGTTTATTAATGCTTGCCAAACAACTAGCAACGTGCAAAACACACATTTGAAAATGAAGTTCACAAATGACCTTTGGCAATTTAGCTAAAAAAGGAAAAAACAGGGAAGTATTGATTTACTGGCTTTTAAACCGATTGTTGGCTCCAAATGACAGGATACTGTTTTCTAATCAAGTCTTCCCAATAATTTATTGTTTCTTGCAGCTTTCTATGTGGCTTAAAGCTAAAGAAGCGAATTCTTGCTGAGTGATTGGCTATTAGAGTGGAGCTTATCAGTAATATGGATCTAGCAATGTGATAACAGAGTTGATAGTGATATGTTTCGAATTTATCTGCAGATCATATCGCTTCCAGCATATTCTCAATTACAACTATATTCTTTTAGCAGTAACACACAGTATCAACTGATGGATGACTCTACGTTAGCCATTCTCTTTTTAAATACTACGGAACAGAAAAATAATCAATTTATACATCATGCCAAGCAATATCGTATAATATCATAGAAACCAAAGCACATCATATCAACATGTTTTACAACTTTTCACATCATGTTTTACTAAATTTCATCGAAGCATAGCATAGCATAGCATAGCATAGCATAGCATAGCATAGCATAGCATAGCATAGCATAGCATAGCATAGCATAGCATAGCATAGCATAGCATAGCATAGCATAGCATAGCATAGCATAGCATAGCATAGCATAGCATAGCATAGCATAGCATAGCATAGCATAGCATAGCATAGCATAGCATAGCATAGCATAGCATAGCATAGCATAGCATAGCATAGCATAGCATAGCATAGCATAGCATAGAATAGCATAGCATAGCATAGCATAGAATAGCATAACATAACATAACATAACATTAGCATAGCATAGCATAGCATAGCATAGCATAGCATAGCATAGCATAGCATAGCATAGCTTAGCATAGCATAGCATAGCATAGCTTAGCATAGCATAGCATAGCATAGCATAGCATAGCATAGCATAGCATAGCATAGCATAGCATAGCATAGCATAGCATAGCATAGCATAGCATAGCATAGCATAGCATAGCATACCATAGCATAGCATAGCATAGCATAGCATAGCATAGCATAGCATAGCATAGCATAGCATAGCATAGCATAGCATAGCATAGCATAGCATAGCATAGCATAGCATAGCATAGCATAGCATAGCTAAAGGAATCTACAATCGATGCATTCAAGTAGAGCCTT